CATTGTGATAGGTGGCCCCCCCCCCCAACTACATTTTCACCGTTTTCTGCACTTACGCCATGAATGTCTTTGGGCCTGTTAGCTTTTTCGCAGCAGGCTCAAGGGATGCTTCTAAATCTTTACGTCAACACCAAGTTGTTGGTGGCCATCACATGAATGCGTTAGTTCCCGCAATATTACCGTAGAAGCATATGCAATGATACATATTTTCAGATACTGCTGCAGAACAACAGCAGGACAAGAATGATCAAGGTCGTCAAGATAGTACTGAGGTGAGTTTCCCTAAGTATCAAAAGAAAAGGAGGAATAGTGCTACTAAATATTCTCATGTTAAGCTGTAGAAGCTGTAGAAGTACTAGAGGAACCAATTTTCCCGTAGAAACATGAATAAGATCGATACCTGATGAGGAACATTCTTATAGAGCGTTCAAGTAAATAGTAAGACGTGAAACTTTGTGTGTACACTTCGAATCGGAATCTGTTCTTGGGCGTAATTTCAGCCAAGTTTGATGGAGACCTCCGATGAAATCTGCGTGATCCATTCCTTGGTAGGCTAACAAGAATCGAACCCATCCACGAGAACGGAAAAGCGGTAGTTATCTGATGTCCCACTGAATCCTACCCCACCAACGGTTCTACATGCTTAGATCACATTTCGATTCTATTACGATTTTGAATAGAAGTGAGCGTCGTGGCGCAATTTGGAAAAGGGATTGCTTAACCCTTAGCCATTCGATGAATCACAACTACTCAGTGCTCCACATGTGGCGTGGAGAACTGCCTGGTCACCTCAGCATCATTTTCTAAAAAAATTCAAGTAAAAGCCCGCATCTGCTGAACCGCTGAATGTATTAAATAATGAACTCTCTCCCTCGAACTCATACTCCTGTTACTCCGCAGGTAATAGGATATTTTGCATCTCCTCGCCCCACAGCTTATCGCTTCAGAACAGTGGCAATGTTCTACTTCTGTTCGCTATGTCCAGCTAGGTTCTTGCGGTGTCTGTTCGATCCGGCTGGGTTTTCGCTTTCTCGATTACTCATGATCATGATTATGATCTCAATCCACATCAAGTTTAAAAAACAGCGAAGGCAGCTCCAATAGAAGCGAATTCTCTTCGATAACCGTGAGCCTATGAAGTTTTGCGAAGATGAGTGGGATATGATGAAACGGAAAACACTGAAAATTATCAGTATGAGGTTGATAAGATTGTTCCATTTTGAAGTGTGGAAATCTCAATGGAAGTCGGGAAAAGGGAAAATGATGGTTTCATTTCATCGGAAGCGGTACATTTAGCTTCTGATCCGAACTACGTAGCATTTTGCAGGAGCAAATAACAAAGAAACTCGATTTATTATAAGGAACTCTAATCATGTTCAGTGGTCAAGGCAAAACGAACGGACATGAGCGAATGCCGATGTAATACGAAAAGCTTACTCTGCACATGAAGATCTGGTAGATGAAATTAAGCGCCAAACGGCGCAGCATAGCGAATGAACCGTTGCCGGCTCTGTCTCCAAAACCGACATCTTTACCGTGACTGATTGTGTCAAAAGATTTGAAGGTGGTCGAGAAAATTTGCATACGGATTATTCGTTCACGTGCAGAAGCTCAAGTGAGGTAACCGAATTGGTGCTTGTGGCGACATGTTTTTCGATGTTACCCACCACTCTCGAAACGGATATTGGCATAGACGAATCATGCATGGGTCGGTTTGTTAAGTGAGCTCAAAAATTTGAAACGTCTGTGTTTTAATGACTGCCGATGAAGGGGCGGTCGCAAGGGCTTTTGATGTGCGGCTGTAGGTGGACGCTCATCATGACTATGGACTTCTGAGAAATGTCGCTGTAGTGACTTTGTCCTCAAAAAAGACTTTTACTGCCTAAGTTCATCACCGGTTTCTCGACGATGATATGAACAATTGGATGCAACACACGGTTATAAGAATACCGCTATTGCTCACGAAGCTCACGACCTTTAGCAGTCCGAATTGTGGGGCAACTTTTTGACGAAAAGAAATACTAGGCATGAATCCCTTATTCACCCGATCTGCAAACATGGACCTAAGCTGTTTTGGGCCAGGGAAGACAACTGTTTGTAGAGAGGGCTCTTACAACTGTACATCACCGAAACAGACGAAAACCGCATCTTCTCGCTTTCCAGTTGTCACTCGGACGCTGGAAACGGGTGGTTGACCTAGATAAAGCCCAGTAGTAGAATGGAAGCTTTACTCATTTCGTTCGAGAACTTTGCAAAACGCTTCAGGTATGTTTCCGATCAGATCGTACCAATTCCGCTATATTAAAATAATATCAGTTGGCTAAATCCACCTGTATCACCTGTCGTTCCGTTGATCATCGATGCGCCAGTAACGCGTCCACTCCGCCCTGCCCCCAGCTGGAGTGGTCAAGTCATTCGTTCTCGTTCAAGGGACACGAAGTACAGCATTCATTTCGTTCCGAGTTCCGTGAAGAAATCTGACCATGCTGCTGTCCGTTTGATGCCCCGAGGGATCCATTCAGTAACTTTTCTGGTCCAACGGTCATAACGACATCGCATAGGGTGCCCGACACACTTTATCTTCGATCTCTTGGTGTAAGGAGCACGGCTGTCCTGATCTCCGTTCGATGACGGCTCTCGTAATTCAGGATTCCTTTCTGCACTTGCGTGAACAAAAAATTTCCAGTATCGTTCTTCTTAAAGGGCGTCTTATAACGCTGACAGCATGCTCATCCTGCTTTCGTCGGGTCCACGCCTCCGAGGCGTACATCAAAGCAGGTAGGATGGCAGTGTCAAACGAGGAGCGCAGAGTCGGACATTTTTTGTCTCTTTCACTATGTCTCCGATATTCCTGAATGCTCACAACGCGGCGTGTTTTTCTCTCCACAGTTCTTGAGCTACATCGCTCATCGTGCTGACTTCTCGACCTAGATACACGTAGCTGAAGCATCCAAAGGTATCCACTCCATTAGGCGTGAAGGGAGCATCCGGTACCAATCCACTTCTCATGGACATCGTTTTCGTTAAGATCAGTGTTTAACCGATCTTTCCACGAGCGCTGTCAAACTCGCGCAGCATTCGTTGCGCCTGCTCGATATTCGGTATTATTAGCGCAAAGTGGAGGTTGTGCTAGCTTGTGCATTGTGCTAGATGTCGCCTACCTTCACTCTCTGGCCTTTTTATTCCAAAACACGTAGTATGTTCTTGGGGGCGGCACTGAAAAGTTCAGGCGAAATAATATGCCCTGCCGAACCTTCTCCTCACGATGACAATGACTTACCCTGGCATGGCAAAGTCCTATCATGAAGTTGTTGAAGAGCTTACGAAGCATCCCTTTTAATAAGAAAGAATATTCTGTTTCCTCAAAGCTCCAATTCTCGCTTCTGTTTCAACAATACCAAAGGCCTCTTCAGATCGTGGTACATATCCTGCATTTTCGCGTTACTTCAATAAATCTTGTGACAGTGTGGATGGGTGTGATCGATTGCTCTTAACCATCTCCGAATCCATGCTTGTTTCGCATGGCTGTCTTTCATCTATTAGTAGTCTGCCAGTCTTCTTGAGAATGACGCGTAAAAAATGCTTGCAGATCACAGACAGTAGACTAGACGATACTTGCCAAAATTGTCTGAATCTTCCTTCTATACTGCAGCACAGCCTTGCTATTTTTACGCCATGTGGGCAATTCGAGAGACAGTTCCTGAAAAGCCTAGCCAGATATCTGACGGAAGCTGCCGGAACACTCTTTAGATGTTCTGACCGAGCGCCGTACAATTCTGTTCGTAAATTATCTTCTCTATTGCCCGTTGGGATGCAGTAATTGTTCCATCAGGACAACGAATGGAAGTCATCCTGATTTCGTAATTAGCAAAGCTACGTCGGACTCTTCAAATGCCTTTTCTGACCTATTCTGCTTCGTTCATAACTGCTGCTCCTTACTCTTTCAGAACTTCCTTTATCGCTTCTCTGCGTAGCTTCGCAGGCTCGTATGTTTGTTGATATTTGCCTGTAGCTAGTGCGATTCCTCGCTGATGTATCAGCTCGAGCGTCCTCGAAGAGAAACGTCCCTTAGCTACTTGTAGGCTGTCTTTTACTTCTTCAGCACTATTGTGAAGATGTTTGACGATCCGGTTGTATTCTTCATCGTTATCGGTAACGGGAATCTTCCAGAGACTCGCAAGGGAAGTAAAGTAGTCATAGTTGATTGAGGTTTCGGGGCTCCGCTTCCTATACTCCGGAGCTCTCTTCCCATCACTGTGAAACAGAGCCTACCACAGAGAAAACGACAGAATTCCGTGTATAACTTCGAAATAACAGCTACGTCAGCAAGGCAAAACCTCCGATTGAAGATGATGTGGTCTATTTCGCTGTCGAACTGTCTACCAAGTGACTCTCATGTTCACCGTCAATGAGGAAGCTTCTGAAACCGTGATTTACCATAGATAGTGTGGGTCAACATGACAAATTAAAATAGTCTTTCACCCTACTCTTTTATTCCATTCCGTGAATACCGATACGTAGCTCTTCAGCCGTTCATCTGGCGTGCGGTGTCGAAATCACCGGCTATGTCCTCGAAGAAAGTATCATCTGCTCTGTAGAGCCTCTCCAGATCCATAAAAAACGCTTCCCGCACCTCTTCCTCGAAGCTTGATGTTTGTTCGCAGGCAACGAATGTTGATTAGAGTTGTTAAGCTTCCGCTCGAAGCGTTATTCCTGGCCGAAAGCGTATTCACTTCTACACCTTTGCGCCCACGCCTCCGCTATCGCATGTTCCAAGGAACAGTTCTTCTCCAAGCCTGAATACGATGTGCAGCTGGTGATGTCCTTTCGTATCGGTCAGTTCGTTGACGTCGTATTGGATTTCCTTAGCTTGCATCATCATTCGTCGACACACGTCCAATGCGTTGAAAGTACAGATCGCCATCCTGGTTCTTCTCCTTTTGGGCAGCTCGTTTTGGGGGCAGCAGATTTTAGCATCCTCTACAAAGCGGTCCTACCCAACGCTGCCGTATTGGTGGCTCCTACGGGGATGAGAGGGTATTATTTGGAAGCCGCCCCAAATCGCCTCCCATATACAGTAGCGCTCAAAAGTTTTCGGTGAAATGCTTTGACGCTTTTTCGTTCATAACTTTTTTCTTAATAGACCAATTTGCGCGAAATTTGGATATGTTTAACTAGAGCATATTCCACCCTACCCAACACAATTTGACTGCAAAGCTGTAATATCCACAGTTAGAGCAAGGTGACTGTTGCGGTAGCAGATTTTGCTAAAAGAA